CATTAAAAAATACATTTGTATAGGTGATTCATTTGATTGGGATAGCATATTAACAAGTATTTACAGACCATTGATTCCACAAATCGTTTCTTATAAAGAATTTGAATATGAGCATTCAAAAAAAATTACTAATTTTGYGTTCAACAAAGATGATTTAGTAGATGTAGTTCAAGCTTTTGGTCAGTCTCAATTAACTGTTTTTAGAGCATCGGAAGAAGCAAAACGCCGAAGTGCTGTTTTTAATCACTGTGTTTTTCCTGAAATGATCTTTGCTATTAATGTAATAAAAATAATTTTACTTTACATACTACTTTTAAATATTTATATTGAGAAATGATTTAATTTATAGAAAATATTTTCTAACATTATTGAAGGAGGGAAAGATGTGTTAAAGAAAATATTAGTTAACATAAAACCTGGAGAAAATTGGAATTTGTTTCAAATATGTTTAAAGTTTTTACAATCTTCTGGTAATTATTCAAAAACCTAGAATTATTGTAATATGTATAAGACTTAATTTTTTTTTTAGGAGAATTTTTACGAGAATTATATTTTATTGAATCAGAATTTAAATGTTGTATYTTAACAAATGAACAACGAGCATTAAATGTTTCAAAATATTTATTAGTCGAAGATAAGCAAATTGAGTTAAAAAATGTTATTGATTTATTAAAAAGTGGTATGTTTTTTTTTCAATTTATAAATAATTTCTATTAGTTATGCATTAGTATGCTTTAAGTTTTTAAAAATATTGTGCAAGTGTTTATTTTATTTATTATTTCATGGAGTATCAATGGATGTAATCCTTTTCAAATTCAATGTTATTCAAATATGTTATTATTATTTTATACATTATTTTATTTTATATATATATWTTTTGTACATTTTTGTATAAAATTCATAATTTTTTAATAGATAATGACTGGAAATTATTTAAAGAATCAATTCAAGCTACAGAAAAATTGTGCTCTCATATATACCAAACTTTTTATAAAATATCATTTAAACCAATATCATTTTATTTAGAGCAACTGGAAAAAGTGAAATTTAGTAAGGAAACATCTGATGCTCATAGACTATCTCCTAGAGAATATATTACTCAAGTAATGTTTTTATTTATGACTATAAATAATGTACCCATTTGTTTCTAAGATTAAWAATATAAGATAAAMATTTTTTTGCTTTTTAATAGATTGGACAGTATTTAATCACTCTTCCTCAACACGTTGAACCATTTTTAGTTAGAGATAATGATGCAGTGACTGTAGTTCTAAGTATATCCGATCGACGTTACACAGATGCTTCTCCAGAAGAAAGTTTTACTAATGTCTTACTAAGAATATTAGCAAGAAATACGTGTGATGTGTATGTAGAACAGATACAATCATTAAGAGAAATAAATGATTTGGCTGCTCAGCAACTAGCTGCAGATATTGGTAAAATTTTTTATAAATACATTTTACTAAATATGATAATGACTCAATATTAAAATATTTTGTGGTTAAATCACTAAATAAATAATTTTTTCCRCAGTAAATTTTCATTATACCATACTTTTCAATCCGTGTTATGGAAGGTGTTGCTTTAATTTCCCTATAAGATAGTAATTATTGCTTTTWAAGTTTTTAAGATGCTTAAAGATTATAGAAATATAAATTTATTTTACATATAAAATTGGATAATCTATATAATGGACTAGTTCCAAGAATTTCAGCTGTATTCATTTTTTGATTCAATACCACGAGTTTTTAATGAATTTTAAATTATCATATAAATATTATTTGATAAATAAAATCAAGCATTTTAATTACATTTTTAACCTGTGTACAATATWTAATCAGCAGCTGATCTGTATGTTGATACTAATTTTCAATTTATTCTCTTCAACTTATATATAATTTCAGAATACTTGGGATATGTATTAGAAGAACTCGGAGTCAAACTAAATGAAACTACTATGCAAATTATGAATTTATTAAGACTAGAAAGTGATAAGTACGTCATGAAATCATCAGCAATTGCTACTTCAAAAGTAGCAGCAGTAATAGCAAAGATTAGAAATATCAGATGAAAAAAAATGTAATATGCAATTTATTTGAAAACTCCATTATTTTTACAAGTATAAAATAACATAATTATTATTTAATCAGCCAAGCTCAAAAACTATGATGTGTATTCAGGAGCCCATAATTTAAAGGTTCTATCATATGATGAAGAAGCTATATATTTAGAATCTGGTGATATGTCCACTCCCATGATTTTGTTGTCATGTCCAGATAGTGTTTTTAACATTTGCCATGTTTTATTCGCCCAAATCTATAAAAATATAAATGTTTTTACTAAACAAATTAACACTACTTTTTTATTATTARTACCTTGATWGTGTTATCATATGAAGACGTGACTATAAAATGACCTTCAGGTTGGTATCTCAGTCCTGAAACAAGGCTCATATGCGCTGGAATAGTGTATAGACATGATCTTTTTCTAACATCCCAAATACGACATGTGTTATCTTCACTACCAGTGGCCATTTGGTAACTTAAAATAAAATACATTWTAGTTGAGTATTGTTCCGTACAAGTTTTTGTTAAATAAAAAATTACCCATTAGGAGAAAAATCTATACTATATATAGACTTTAAATGACCTTCCATAAACATAATGCATCTTCCTGTACGCAAATCCCAAACACGACCAAAAGCATCTAAGCCCCTATTAAAAATTAAAATATGATAATGAATAATAAATTAGAACATGATATGKACACYAAAAAAAAAGAATTTTATTAAAATATTAAATAAACTTAAAAAATAATTATACTTACCCAGTAGCAACAATTGATCCATCACACTGAAATGACATACAATAAACTGGTTTACAATGTCCTTCCTGATGGAGAACTTCTTCCCCTTGTTCTAAATCCCACAATCGCCAAGAATTATCAAAACAGCAAGTTCCTAAAAATCGACCAGATGGATGAAAATCCGCTCTTGACACTCTAAATGGTGCATGGCCTTCCAGGTCTGCTACAGGTTCTTCTTTTTTACTAAAACAAATATAATTATAATATTGTATGTTCATCACATACTTCACACAAACAAGTAGTAAAATAACTTACCTATCCATGGACCACAGTTTAACAGAACCATCACTRGCACATGATACGAGATCACAAATATTTTCAGCAGTACCAGCATGTGGATTAAATGTGATAGAGCAGACATTACAATTATGTCCTCTGAATGTTTGAACTAATGAACAATCGGGAACTGACCATAATTTACACAAACCACTCCTGAAATCATTATGTATAAATACAATAATAAATAAAAGAATAAAAAATAATTTACCAAGATGATGTAGCTATAAACCGCGAGTCAGGACTAAATCGGCAGTATGAAATTGGTCTAGTATCTCCAATTTGACTACAATAAATAGAAAGAGATGTTGTGTATTTGTGTAAATCTTGTAAGCGCGCTGTAAGTGTTGATTCAGGTATACTAGCTTCTTCTCTGAGCTTTTCCAAACGAATATGTGATCTCAACAATGAATACTCTAAAAGAGCATTAAACCAATAAATAATTATGAACAATATTAGGGGATGTTCATTGTTCGTCAAAAATAAAAATATGTTTCGTTTGTATGATGTACTACAATAATTAAATTTTAATTTAAAAATACAATATGTTTATACACATAAAAGCACATAATTTATATTACATGCCTGCCATATATAAACGAGCATCTAGTAGTGAAGGTGGCCCTTCATGATACCAGGTTGTATCTTGATCCTTAATTTGCTGGCGTTTTTCTCTTTCTTCTTCTGGTTTTTTTGCTACAACATCTTCTCCTACTCTAAGACATAATTAAACAATGTATGTTAATCCTAATGTTATTAAAATAAGTAATTCATTAAGTCATAAAAAAATACATTTTTAAAATTAATGTCAAATACCTCGAAAGCAGTTCCCTCAATCTATTTCTTCTTTCTGCTGGTCCTTCTCCATACAAGCATATGGGTTGTCCAAGCTTCCTAAGATTTTTTTTAACTTCATCATCATCAGTAGAAACTTGCACATGCCGGGCTTTCTTTTTACGTTCAAATTCTTCAAGTAAAGCTTGCTTGTCTTTAGATATAGCATCCTCCAAATCAAAATATTCTGCAAACAACAACAACATAGGTAATTTATAATCTGATGAAAATACCTACTTTACATTTCTTTCTAKTTAGATTCGTTATAGTCAATTTAATATTATTATTACCATTGGATACGTTTATATTTCCTCCTACAACTTTAGGTTCAGCATCGCCTTCAGTAAAAGCCAAAGATGATAAACGGACACGTTCTTGATCTTCTAATGAACCGTAGTGTATTGTTTTTTGTTTTTTTACGTAAGTTATTTCTTCGTCGTCCGACATATTTTCAAAAGTATTTGTGTTTTTAAAAATATGCTAACTTCTAATTGAACGTTTAAAACTGTTATTGCAAGTTAACAAGATGAAGTATAAACAAAAAAATCGGTTTATGTTATCAGCTAAACTGATGTTAGGAACGAGATAACGAGATCGTCACTAGATTTTCTTTCGATCCCGTATAATTTTATTGTCTATTCATACAACTTACTGTCTAGCTCTGTGTTTCTGATACCTATTATGGCGATTGGCGATTATAGTGCGATCATTGATAATAAAAGATCTTTTATTATCTATGAGTGCGGTATGGTGGAAAACCCTATAAGATAGTATACTATCATTAATCTAAGACCGTATCTATTCTGTGGTGTTATCACCATTCACAATGAATGATTTTTAAATGTATACTTGAATTTTTAAAAAAAATGTTTGAAATAATCACTATTCAGTATTCACATTTCGCTGTAATGGTATTTTTTCTCGTTTAAATCAATGATATAAATTAATATCGAATAATTAATTTAATACAAATATATAATGTCAGTGTCTAGATTTTATGATCATATACATTATACCTATTATAATATCCACAACTTTTTCTTTATTTGTAATTATTTGTAATTTTAATTTAACTGAATGTGTAAAAATGGTAAAAAATTATCGTGTCGTTGTATTTGGCGTGAAAGGCGTTGGTAAGACAGCAATATTGGAACAAGCTATTTATGGGCATTATAGCAAAAATTATGTGAGTTTATTAGAACACTGAGCACTGTTAATATTTATTATTGCTTTTTAATTTTGGTTATAGAAACTGTGGCCTACTATTGAGGATATATACCAGGCTTCTATAGAAACTGACAAAGGGATACGTGAACAAGTTCGTTTTTATGATACTGCTGGTTTGGATTTGACACAGTTACCTGAGGTTGGACTGTATTCAAATCCAGATCCTTCGCTTATGCTATCTTTTGGTCAAATAGCTAAGCAGTATGCGTCCATTGCAGATGCCTTTATTCTAGTATATGATACAAGTCGACCAGAAACATTTGATTGCTTGGTTACATTAAAAAAAGAAATTGATAAGAATAAGGAAAAAAAAGATGTAAATATTGTAGAAATTTAAATAGTGTATCTTCTTATTTTATTAAGATAAACCAGACAATACATTTCATTTTTGATATATTTAATTTTTTAGGCGTTTTATGTCATTGTTGGCCATAGAATGCGAGAAATGGATATCAAAGCTCCAACTTTAGAGTGTCCAACAAGTCGAGCTTCCCATTGGTCTATTAGAGAAAAAATGAAACATTTTGAAGTTAATGCTTTAGACCGTACTAGCTTATTCGAACCATTTATTTATATTGCATCAAAATTTAATACTGCACAACCAAAGAGTAGTTTTCCTCAGTTAGTACGAAAGGGTACTCAACATTAATGCCTATTAATTTCTATAGTATTTATATGGGTAGTATTTTATCCTATAGTTTATTGCAAAATCAATAACTATACAAGTTAACAAAATAATGTARTTGCTTGAATATTATAGCTGCCAATTTAAAAGTAAGAATATTATTTCAGTCCCTCCACACATATTTTAATTTTGAAGCAAGTTATGAGAATTTTAAAATTGTAACTTTTGTTTTTGTTTCTAGTGAGGTGACACAACTGAGTGCCTTCCTAATTAAATCATTCTCATTGCTATTAATTTGTAATAAACATTACATATTGAACTCATGTATAAATTGTAACTAATTTATTTTTAGTAAAAGTATATTTTTTTAAATTTTAAAATATTCTAACCTTGCTTTAAAATTTCTTACTTTAAAATTTGCAATACAYAATAAATTCACTTTAATATAAAAAATAACAAGAAGACAATTAATTATTTGATCCATACTTAAAATTTWAAATGTTATGTATTAGTAATAAGTGATAATTAATAAGGATAAAACATAATAATATGCAGTAACCCTCGAAATGTTGTATTAACATTAAGTGAGATCCAAAATCTTTTTACTCATAAATCAATTATTATGATTCACAAAATCGTTACAAATTTTGATATTTTGTGTATTATAATAAAATATAATATTTTGTTTTCATCTGTTAAAACATTTGTTAACATAATAATATTCTACTTAAACTGCTAAAATATACTTTTAAAATATTTATAAGTATTTTAGTTAGAGTAAAAATGTATAGTTTATGGCATTTATATAAATTTACTGAATAGTAGAATTTAATACATTTTCATTTATAAACAAGCTGTAAATAGCTCTTTCCATATTTTTGACTCAAAATGCATTAAGTATTATAGATAATATAAAAAGAGTATTAAATTAATGGAATGGTAAATAAAATATTAAATATCAACATTCATATTATATAATTAAGCAACACTTGTAAACATCAATTATTAAAGTGGATTAAAATTGTATTATTATGTTGAAACATTTTTGTATAATAAGCAAATATGTTACATAAATTATAATTTATGTTATAATTCAGTTATTTTATTTTTCCATTTAAAATTATTTTATTATTTTTTTGATTTTCATTATATAA